TGGAAACATCTTTACTAAGGGGAAAGAGCCCAAAAATACAAATAAAATCTGAGTGAGTTAGAAAATGGATTGTGAGTTTGGGTTTTTTTTCCACATCCTCTGCATTAGTCCTCTGATAAATCTGTCTGATAGCAGGTTTCTTATTTTCACATCTTAAGCGATAATTTAGGTGTGCTGAATGAAGTGAATAGTTGTATTAGTTACACTGCAACTTTAGTTTTCATTTTCTTCATAAAAAAWTTCAATTGAACAATTAATATTCTAACTAATAGAAATTAATTAGCCAAATACTTAGCATCATGGATCCACTGTTCCTACCTGGTAATGAACGGAGTTAAGATTGAGACATAGAAGCAAAGTTTTGCATTGCTAAAGGTCCAAAATAYGTTGCTCCTACATGGTAATATAAAGCAAAACTTCAGAAATGTTTTTTTCAAAAGTTTTTACTTCAAGTCTTATTTCATGTGAGCTGACTTCTCATGTGTGGACTTGCATTTTCAACTGTATTACACTGTTTGCATTACATTAAAACATTGTGGACTACAACAGAAAAAAAGTTTTTTTGGGACCCTCAGAGAAGTTTTATCTATGCTCCTGATGTTTCTCAAAAAGCAAAACATTTAAGTAAGTGTATTAAGTAGTGACAGCTTTAAAAAACAGTTCTGACATTATRCAGTGAAATATCTCAGTGGAGAAGTAAGACACACACACATTTCTGTTAACCATCAACTTCACTTTCAAAACTAGTAAGTTGTGCCAGGAAGCATATTAATTAGACAAGCTTCTAGAAGTGCAACAAAAGTTTATTTTTAACTATRCTGGGATTTTATACTTCAAATAAATGCATTGCTACTCTGTCTTTTGGATCTCTAAGCACGAGACATAATAATCTTATGCCATGTGTGTCAATGTACAGGGCTCTAACTTGCCAGACACTGAATCCATCATCTGAAATGCACATATGCCTCATTATTTACTTACTAATTCATCTGCTCCGTGTATTTAACAGATGACTCTGCAAGTCATGGGACTGTGCAGCCCAGAGATTATTCAAAGGCCATGGTATGCTGCAAAATAATGCTAAGAGTGTTTAATTTTTCCCTTCAAAATCTACTCAGCTCTACATTTTCTGATATTAATGATAAAATTTGAGTTCACTCATTTTATCCCCACAGTTTAATACAGTTCAGGTGTGATAGTTTCTGGGTGTTCGGTAGGTGACAGAGGTAGGCTCTTTTCATGTTTGCACATCACTAAGACTATCTATTAAATTACTTGTCACTGCTATGAAAATTTTTTGAAGGTAACAGTGTTGGGCTAGTATTTCTTAGGCATATTTGCAAGATGAAGAGATTACAAAATGTGGGAGAAAAGGGCTCCACAAGCCCTGATTTTGAAACTCAGCTAATTATTGTGTACGACTGAAACTTGGGAAAAGAAAAGGAGTGTTAACAGTTTACATGGAAGAAGAATGCTGCATCTTTGAGAAAAGCAGATTGAAATGCAGAATTGATAACGCAGGTGGCTGAAAATTATAAGCATTACTAATACTGTAGCTTTACCAAACTCACCAATTATGTTCTGATTACTAATTAAACAACTATCTCTTAACCAATGTATGTTTGACACAAATGTGTACTCTAGTTACTAAAGTAAATAAAAAAATCTTGTCCCACAACAAACTTCTTCTTTCTTTCTGTTTTTTCACCCACTTTTTGTGTATTTTGTATCTATTCTTTTCTGTCACTGTTTAACCAGCAGCGACAACAAAATCTAAATAATGGCCTATCTTTGCTAAATTAATGACACATGGAAGAAAGAACTGTGTATTCAATAGCTTGTTTGTAATATTACTATTGTAATAGAACTTGAAATAAATTAACGTACAAGACCATGTTGCAAAAATATCTTGCCTCTTCCTTTGCCTYCTGGTACTTTTGTTGTAAATATGAACCTTCAGAAGGAGATGTGTAATGTCACTTATCTGATTTTGGCTTTCTTTTAATGTGGTCTGGACCACCTGGAAGGCAGAGCCTTTGRCTGCAGACTCCCCCATTCTAGACAAAAGGCAGCTCTGTTGTGAACTCCACCATGTTTCAGGTGCAATACCTCTCATACCTCAAGGTTTCTAACAGCCATACTCAGCCTTTCTGAGGAACAGTTCAAGGGGTCACCTTGGAACAAGCTGATTGCTGTGTGCACTTCCATCAGTTCTGACCCAAACACAAATGCATGTGCTGGTTGGGTGCCTGCTTTGGTGTCATCCKTCTGGTTGTGGCTGCTTGGGAAGGGGGTGGCTATAAGTAGTCAGCAATTGGCTTCCAGATTTTTGGGAAAGAGTGAGTYACAGGTTTAATGAAGCAATCTGCTTGATCATCTTCCTCTTTGAGGTACTTGAAACGAAAAGGGTCTGTCGTGGTTTGAATGAATTTAATGGGAGCAAAACACTCCCAAGTTCCAGCAAACCTC